AGGAATGCCCTCCCACTTCCACCACTGAACACCTGCTCATCCTTCAAGGTTTAGCTTAGGTCTCCTGCTTTGTGACAAAAAAAATCCTTTCAGATTTCAATCTGCTCAGAATCACATCATGTCCAGTTTGAAGGACTTTGAAAGTTGTCTTGTCCACCTCCCATCAGATGCTTGAGTCTTGGGGGTAGATCTTCCCACCCAGTCCCCAACCCCCTGTGGCTTGCTTGAGTTGGAGACTTGCTCATCACCTCTGAGGCAACTCGAGCCATTCATGAGAAGTTCAGTTAGAAAGCAAAAAAAAGAAAAAGCCCTTCCCTAATTAAGCTATGAGACCTCCCAGTAGGGTATACCACTTGTCCTAGCTCTGCTTCTTGGCATCAGTTAATTACTCTTAGGGTCCCAAGGGTGTGAGTTAGGGCTCTATTTAGCACAGTTTTCATTAAAGAGTCTACTTACCTTAGGCTCTTCTATGTCACTGGCCCCTATTTTTCAATCTCCTTTGCTGGTTTCTCCTCTTTTCCAAATCTCTAAATACTGGTATGCCCTGTGGCTCAGTTCTCAGCTTTCTATCCACATTCATTCCCTCAGTGATATCATCGAGACTCGTGACTTTATTTATTTATTTAAATTTGCCATAGGCACATGCACTCACAGAGAGAAAGAAAACACCCTCCGGGGAGGATGACCACACCGTCATCCCTTCTCCATCCTTCTCTTGGGATTTGGGAGATGCGTGCACATGTGCCCAGCATGTTTTTCAAGTGGCAGGGGCACGCATACACATGTGCCCAGCATTTTTTTCAGGCAGCCAGTTGGAGACTGGAACAGCACAGTGGGCCATGTGAGAGCCAGCTGTCTTGACTATGCTGCCTAGCCGACCCCAAACTCATGACTCTAAATATCATATATACGCCGATAATTCACATTCTCTCTCCAGCCTGGAATACTCCTCAAACATTAGACTCACTGTGCCCAACAGCCTGGTCAACATCCCTCCTCAGCAGTCTGTCACATGATCTCTAACCAACCAAGCTCCTGATCATCTACCCTCCAAAATCTACTCCCCTAGCAGCCTCCTCCTGTCCAGACAGAAACTCTGTCTTTCAGTTGTTCCGGCCAAAAACCTGCAAGTCATTTTTTTTTTTTTTTTTTAGAGGTTTTACCTA